TATTTAATTAATATTACATGACTGTAAAATATACTCTTAACACTAACAATAAATTTTAAAATTTCTAAGGCAGAAATGTAGCATGTATTTATGTGTGTTGTGTCACATGTAACAAAAGTCTACAATTTAATTAATGTAAAACTTCTATGCAATAGCGTTTATTAGTTTGTGTAAATCTTTTTTTTATGTATATGTATATAAATAAAACTGAAAAAAATAACAAATATGCAATATAAGTTACCAAAATAAAGATCAATCCATTCAGAATACTAATCATGCCACTATGTAACATCACTTGTAAAGTTATTGCTATAACGAGAAATTCAAACATCGGCGATTGTTCAGTTTCAAAAGGCAATTGTATCTTTATAGGAAGCTGCCGTACAGTATCATTGTAATGCTCAGTTACAAATATAAAACGAATTATGTAGTCGCCAGAAACGTAAAATGTTGCCACGATCATTGTAAAGCTCAAGAGACTGTTAGAAAAGAAATGCGACACATTTGCTTTGATCGTCATTATATGCAAATGTTGAGCGTCATTGATGCACTCGCGCCAATCATCACCAATATCCGTTAAAATTTTATGAAGGACTCTGTAATACGTTACTTCTATATGTTATTTTCAATTTTTATAAATATTAATAATATTTTTTTTTTTTTCAAATCAATTAATGTTTTACATTCTAACATTTAAAGTAATATGATAATATTAAAGCACTTTCAGTCAAGAAAAATCAGACTGAAAATGTATGTTAAAAAACTGAAGGACAATCTTATTTCTCGAACACGGCAATTTAGTATAATTGAAATATTACGTCGTATATTACATTATCTTACCTACGACGTATAAACAGATTAGTCAATTTAAGAAATGTCAAACTGTAATATAAAGTCACAATCAAACAGTCAACAAGATTTGATAACTCGCTGATCTTCAGGTGATCAAATACATATAAATATTGGAAGTACTGTGTAACCAGTATACTCAACATAAAACTCAGCCAATAAATGTTGGAATATGGCATACCCGGCCAAAAGCCAAAAAATCGAAGAAAAGTTATCACGGCTAAACTAATGGTACTTGTGACTGTCATTTGCCTTTGATTTTGGAAAATTTATGAAAATAATAATTAGTTTCAGCACATGTGGTCGGTACTCAAGTTGAAAGGGAAATGAGAGCGCACTGTCCGTTCCTCCAAGTGTATCCCCACAAGGTGCGTCCCTACTCAGGTGAACACGGATCAATCGCTATTATATGTCGCGTGGTACAACGATATTAAAGTTGAGACCGAACTTATTATTTAAAAATCCTATAATTCCATGAACAGTCTCGCAACGTATTCTTTGACCAAGAAATAACAACGATAATATACAGCCAACGTAACAGGAAAAGCAGCTTGCTGCGTATCAGCTTTTTTTCAAACTTTTCTTCTTGCTTTTGTCTCAACGCAATTACATCGACAAAAAACATATCTACCGCGTATCGATTATAAAAATCATGAAATGCTCGACAGAACGATAGTGATGACATAAAATATTCTAAGCAAATGGAACCAAATTATGTTTGTCATGCAGTTCACCGTGCAGTTCAACTTTCTAGTCTTTAAAGAGATAATGCGAGGGTAGAACTCACTGAATAGGGGATATAATAATGAATAAATGTCTTTAATGATTCCGGGAATGTAAAAAACTCGTTTAAGAAAAAAATTTTATAAGTAAAGGTTTTTAATTGAAGATGTTATTATAAGCATTTTACAGTTTCAAGTATATTTTTATGTCTATACACAACAAAATATACCTATACAAATTGAATGCGCGATTCTCTAATATGGGGTTAATGCTCGAAAGTATCCGAGCATTATCTATTTTCTATTTCTACGCTTTCGTCGCCTATAAAAACCGTTCCTTATGAAGAATTGGGCCAGCATGACAATTGCACCATATTGTGTTAATTTCGTTAAAAATCTTGGGTAAAATATAATCAAAAGTTTTATCATCATTCATATATATTCAACAAATTTTTGTGAATACTTCCACAAGAGTTATTGTATAGATGATGAATTGACGTTTTTTACACAGACACTTTCCAACGTATACCATTTTGCAGTATTTGAAGATAATAATTATTTTTCT